TGCAATTTATAAAAAAAACTTACGAACACATCCACGAAAAACATCTTTTGGATCACCAATTAAGCCTTCTTTACAATGACATTCGCCATCTTTACAGTATGCCCCTGGTCCACAAGTCACAATTTCACAAGAATCTGCAGTAAAATAAGACAAATATCTGATGATTAAATCCACACTTTTTCAAAAAAGAATGAAATATAGATACAATAACAGATTCAAAAAGCACTAAACACCGATAAAGTAATCCGGTTAAACCAATACATTCTTTTTCGAAGAGTATGAAACATGGATGTAATAACAAATGATTAAATTCCTGCTTTTTCAAATTTTGGAAAACATGTATAAAATAAGAAAAGCAACTTAATGCTAAGTATTTTCTTACGTTTTAGAAATCTGATATTTGTGGTGAAGTTTTTGATGAAAATATGACTTTTATATGACTTTCTAAAAAAAATGTTTTGTTTTTTTTCTGTTAAGCATAAAGCTATGAAATGGGTTATCTGTGTTCAGTCCATCACAGGTTTTGAAACCCAATTTTTAGCATTATAAGCCTTCAGACTTGCCACAGAACCACTAGTAGGGGTGGGTGTCTTTCTTAAAGAAAGCTATTAAGTTTTTATAAATCTTTGTAAAGACTTAAGAAGTTGATAACCAAAATCCTTACAACTACCTTCTTTACAGCCATATTCCTCTTACACTGACTCCAATACTTTGTGCTCAAAAGATTATGCTAATTTATCTCGTACACTAAACATCACATATTCCAATGCTTTATTTTTCTAATACTTCAAAAGAAGCCTAGGTTCAACAATCAGCAAACACTTACCGAACTTTTACTTACAATTTAGGTAACTGAACACCCAAAACTTTTCCTTTCATCGAGCAATACTTTGAATTACTGAGTTGGCTCAGAAAACACGCAGGTTACAAAATAAGCTCGTTAGCTAGAAACCATTAAAGAATTCGTACTTACTAATACAGTAACCTCCTTTACAGAATTCACCAGATGGACAAGAGGCATCAAGTTCACAGGGGCATCTTGCTCCAGGCTTACATTCAATGATCTTAGCTACAAAAATAAAAACAATTTCTTAAATAATTTATATTTTTTAACGTTGCATTTAAGAAAAAGTGAGTACATTTTTTCATAATGAAAGATCATGATCCTGTTGTTTCTTGTGTTGTCATAGTAACTGTAACATGGCGTACAGCAGCACCCCAGAACATACAAAAGTTAAACACAATGAGAAACGTATCAGCACAAAAGTATTTACAGTAGAAATCATTTTATGTTCCTTAAAAATACGAACGTCAAACTCACTGCAAGCAAATTCTGGATTTCCCACAGTGCCTGGTGGACATACGCACAAGAAACTTCCCACACTGTTGATACAAGTTGCTCCAACGCCACAGGAACTCGGTCCTATCAAACACTCGTCTACATCTAAAGATTGAAAAATTCAGGGTGTTTATGTTTGAATTGAAAGGCTGATTACACTTTTAGACAAACCCTTGGTCCTGCTGTTATCAAATTAATTACACGTTCATACTTATTTCAAAATATCTATTACAACTGTATTGAGAAACGAAACAATAGTCAGAGAAATTTTCTCTAAGTGATTAATCTGTATTAAGTGGTCGGATAACTTACTTTTCCTTCTGTTAAAACTAATTACCAACCAAGATTTAAATCATTCCTTGTATATATTTCAGAAAATAGAACATCAAACACAGATGTAAAAAGTATTACTATTTAATTAAGAAAAAACAGTTTTTTGATAACGTTACCAATGCATCCTAAGAAAGGGTTTCCTTGGAGACCAGCAGGGCAAACACAGTCTACTCGACTCAGTCCTTCCACACAGTTTGCATTGCTTCCACATTTTGTATTATCACAGCGTTGTACTGAACCTGCAATAAATACACCCATGGATAATTTCAACGTGACCTGCAGGCTTAGGTTTAATGAGCTTGAAACGGACCTAAACAAAACAACTCTACAACTAGATTTGAACGAAAAACAATTTATTAAACTGTAATAAGAACAGAAATTTAGAATAAAACTTTCGAACAACTGGAATAGGAATTTTATCACTTACAAAAAAAAACAGTTAACAGATACGTGCCTAGCCAGTACTTGATACTAACATTAATGAACAAATGCACATAAATATGAATGTTATTAATTTCAATAAATAAAGGAATCAGGAAAAAAAACCAGAAGAAAATATCCTAATTCTGAAAAAAAACAAAAAAAATATTCCAAGATTAAACCACTTCTCAAGATCAATAACAACAGAGCAACAATTAGCAATAATTCTAACAATGTACCATGAACTAACTCATTTAAGATCAAGGAAGGGATTTACTCAGTGGTTTGATCACAAGGTTACATCTCGTGTGACTATTTATTACCATAAATCTACATAATCTTTCACAACATTAATATCTGTATGTCCCCACTAGGGGAAGCTTGCGTCAGTTCCATAATACGTACATACTCAAAATCAACGTTCACTAGACAAAAGGTGAGTTAGCATTTTAATCTAACTAAAAAATTCATAGCTGAACTAAATCATAGAATGAGTAATAATTGAACCCTAAACAAAAACCACAACAAAATAAAACTCAAATTCGCTATCTCACAAGCTTCTTCGTACCAAGTGTTTTAAACAGTGTTGCAATGTAATATAATCCAATCAATGAGGCTATATCATTTTGTCCTATAAAAACAACACATTTTATATCTTACCACAGCTTTCATAAGGATTTCCACTGAAGCCCTGGTTACAGATACATCTATTAGGTTTTCCATAGGCACAGTGAGCATTAACTCCACAAGTAGGGGAGCATACTGGAGCTAGAGGAGCTAGAAAATAAAAAACAAGTCGTTTAGACGTACTGAAAGCATTTAAGAGATTTACTCCACTTCCACTTTGTAATTCATTCTAAAACATCCCACTCAATCGTTACAGTGAAATATGTTTCAGATAAATATATCAAATAGCAGTTTTATCTTTCTCGTTAAAACCACCTTATCATCTGCTGTTATACTCATCTAATAAAATATTAATATCGAAACGACAAAATAAAGTAAGCTGTAGTATAACACTCACGAGGAACACAGAGTACATTGGGATTTCCAATAAAGAATGGACGACAAAGGCAACGTCCAGTATGCTTGTCACACACAGCACCCTGTCCACACTGTATGCCATCACAGCGTTCTGTTAAAATAAACACATTAAAAATCAAACAAATGCACTGTTATAATTAACAATAACATTAATTTTTTACAATTGCATCTATAACTACCCAGAACTGGCTTTAAGTTAATCAGTTACATCTTTACGATCGTATCTATAGCTACCCAGAACTGGCTTTAAGTTAATCAGTTACATCTTTACGA